CCCGTTGCGGAGCACAGGCTCTGGACGTGCAGGCTCAGCGGCCATGGCTCACGGGCCCGGCTGCTCCACGGCATGTGGGATCTTCCCAGACCGGGGCACGAACCCGTGTCCCCTGTGTTGGCAGGCGGACTCTCAACCACTGCGCCAACAGGGGAGCCCGGCCAATTGGCTTTCAAGCTCCAGCGAGGAGCCCCCCAGCCTCTGCTCTTCCCTCAGCACTTTCTAGAAGATTCCCTCATGCTGTCCAGGAGCGAGGGGAAAGGACGGCTGCAGGGAGTGATGTGCCCGGTTCACAAGTAACATTTTGGGCTCAGAGGACCAGTAATCACTAAATCAGGTTTTCATCACCCAGAGGGCAGAAACCAAAGGACCGATTCAGGGTCCCTGAGCCCTTTCCCACCACAGCTCCGGCTCAGGGAACACCGAGGGCTGGCCCAGCCCCAGTGATGTGAGTGCGGACTGTCTGTTGTGTGGGAGAAGTGGGGTCCTAGAGGGACACAGATGCCTGGCAATTCCCCAAGGTGCCCTGCGTGTGTGCGTCCCTCTGTCCACACTGAGCAGTGCCCCGCCACCTGGACCCTGCAGGGCACAAGAGTGGCCCAGCGAGTGGAATGATTCCTTGGGTTGAAGACAGAGGTGAGGACACGGCATCCAAGTCAGGCCAACAAAGGCTGGGGGTCCTTCCTTTTCCTCCAGCCCCTGTGAATGACCCAAACTCCAGGGTTTCTGGCTGTGTCCACCGAGGCCTGCTAAGGCTGTGCCAGTGCGGGCAGACGAAGGAGCCCCAGCTAGGGGCCAGCCCACCTTTGCCCACCTTTGTGGGGCTGTGGCTCGTCGTCTAGCTGAGCTTCTCTGCATTGCAGGGACTCGGGTCAGATGAGGTCACGGGGTGAAAGCGCTTTATAAAACTAAGCCATGCTGCAAATGTGTTTCATTTTAAGGAAACGGGGGAGAACTGTCACCACGCTAGAGCCAGGCAGGAGAGGAAAGCGCAAATCCTCTGTTGCCCTCATCTGGCGTCAGGGGTGCAGTGGGCACAGTCAGCTCCAGGCAGGTGAGCAGCCCGGGCAGCAGGAGGGGGCAGTAGTACCTTGAAGGCTTGGTCTGGGGGTGGCTGCCCACCTGAGGCCCATCCCGTGGGTCGGGGGCCTGGCTTCTCAGAGGCGTCCTCTGTGTGTCCATGTCCTCTTGGGGTCCTGGAGCTGCATCTTAGGACAGGGCATTCCAAAGTCTCTTAATGCGAGGAGTTTATTTGTCCTAACTTGACCTGGCTGACTCTGCGTGGGCGCGCTACGGGTCAGGTCTTGCGACAAGCTGGTGGTCCCAGGGCCCGAAGGTCCTCCTGGTGGGGTGACTGAGGACCACCAGGCTTCCCGGTTGCAGGGCCGGCGGTTCCAGCCGCCTCCTGGGAGGTCCAGCCATCTCCATCAGCGGCAGGGGACACTGAGGTGTGGTCAGGTCACCTGGAGGGGAACCAGCGGCCACTTACAGCCCACAGAGGAGAAGGGACAGGAGCCTGAGGGCTGTCTCCCTAAATGGGATTCAAGAGCAGGTCCTCTGCCGTGAGTTTGGAGGCAGCCCTGGGAGGCAGCAGACGGTCTCACTTCTTGGGATTCTGTTCATGAGGCCTGGAGGTGAGAGCATCAAACCGCGCTCTCTGCGTGGCTCCTGCGTCTCCCTCCAGGGCAGGATGTTTCCCAGCAGCTGGGAAGAGTCAGTTTTGAACGTGGAGCAAAAGCTAAGTGAGCCTGTGCTTTCTGATAGGTAAAGAGAGGGGCAGGGGCGGGAATGAAGTTTTGAGTTTCTGCTTGTGTTAGCTTCTGTCTCAGGCCCGTGAATTCTTAGGTAGCTCCGTGAGACGTGTGCTGGTGTCCTGAGAAAGCAGTGGCAAACGACAGGTTAGCTAGTCTCAAATTAAACACTAATGAGTGAGGAACCTGAATCCCAATCCAGGAAGGTCTGATCACCAGATGGGTGCTTTCCCAGCTGGGCCTCTGCAGACCCTTAGCCCGGTCACCTGGGCACTGACACAGGGACCGTAGTCCTCGTCCTCTGGGAGCCCTTACATGTGGCCTGGAGTCCACTTTATTTTTTTTTAAAATTAATTTATTTATTTATTTTTGGCCGCGTTGGGTCTTCGTTGCTGCGCGCGGGCTTTCTCTAGTTGCGGCGGGTGGGGGCTACTCTTCGTTGCCATGGGTGGGCTTCTCATTGCGGCAGCTTCTCTTGTTGCGGAGCACAAGCTCTAGGCTCGCAGACTTCAGTAGTTGTAGCATGTGGTCTCAGTAGTTGTGGCTCTCCGGCTCTAGAGTGCAGGCTCAGTAGTTGTGGCACACAGGCTTAATTGCTCTGTGGCATGTGGGATCTTCCCGGACCAGGGGCTCGAACCCGTGTCCCCTGCATTGGCAGGTGGATTCTTAACCCACTGTGCCACCAGGGAAGTCCTGGAGTCCACTTTAAATGAACTTGGCAAATAAGCTTGATTCGTGGTCAGTCATGACCTGCAACAGGTGAAAAGGAAGCACAGACTCCTTACTCTAGGTGATAACTCCCATCAGGGCACCCTCAGGTTGAATAGTTTCATTTTACATCTTCCTTCCCGTAGTCATGCAGTGAGGCTGCCATCCCACGGCAGGTGGTGGAGGGATTTCAGGGCCCTTGGGTGGACCAGTCAGCAGAAGACAGCCCTGGGCAGCTCTCGAAGCTGGTGTTTGTGGGGGAATCATTTCCAGGCATAGTGGAGCCTTGGGCCTGGGTTCTCCATGGGTGTTAAAATGGTGACAGTTGAGAGTGTTGACCTCATGCCGGGTCAGCAGGGAAGACGAGAAAAGTCAGGCCCTCCAGAGATGCAGCAGGTGGTGGTTTTTGTGCTTTGGGTCTATGGCACCAGTTACTCTTTAAGCAGTTGGACAAATAGAAGATGGAAAACTAGGCAGTGGCCCACACTTTGAGGCAGCTGGTTGGTTGCCCTGAGTTGTGAACCACATGGCAAAGTCAGAGGCTGCAGGTTTGGGGTGCAGGGGAGCTGCACGGCGTGCCACACGCTGCCCGCATCTCCAGGGGCCTCCTGACTGCAAACCGCAGTGGACCTGAGACAGGCGAGCAGGACACTTGTAATACACCAGTGCCAGGAACAGATCCACCCCGCCGCTCTTGGGCACATAGGTGAGATGGCTCTGCCATCCCCAGCAGAGAATGAGCGGGCCCTCAGCACTACTGGGCCTGAGGCTCAGGGCCTGATGTTCCTCTGGCCTCTGGACCGTGTCGGTTTCACACCCTGGGCACAGCCAGGCTGGCGAAGTCTTGAGAACACAGCCCTGCAAAGACAGAGACAGCAAACGTTGTTTCTCTCTTTGAGAGAGATGGATTTAGATTCACAGGGATTTAGAATCTGGGTGTGTTTTCTTTTGCAGATTCTGTCATGTTTGGTTTCTTTTCTCCTTTCTTTGCAAAGATACTAGGGAGCTACGGGGAAACCGCCGAGCACACGGGGGCACTGGGAAAGCGTTTTACAGATCTGGAGTGTTTGCTAATGGAGCCATTCTGGTCTTCCATCCTTTCGTTTGCTTTTGCACGTAGGCCGTTTGATCGCTGCCCGTGACACCATGGATCTGCACGTCTTCGACTACTCGGAACCGGGGAACTTCTCTGACATCAGCTGGCCATGCAACAGCAGTGACTGCATCGTCGTGGACACTGTGCAGTGCGCCAACATGCCCAACAAGAACGTCCTGCTGTACACGCTCTCCTTCATCTACATCTTTATCTTCGTGATCGGCATGATCGCCAACTCCGTGGTGGTCTGGGTGAACATCCAGGCCAAGACCACGGGCTACGACACTCACTGCTACATCCTGAACCTGGCCGTCGCCGACCTGTGGGTGGTGGTCACCATCCCGGTCTGGGTGGTCAGCCTCGTGCAGCATAACCAGTGGCCCATGGGCGAGCTCACGTGCAAGGTCACTCACCTCATCTTCTCCATCAACCTTTTCGGCAGCATCTTTTTCCTTACGTGCATGAGCGTGGACCGCTACCTCTCTGTCGCCTACTCCACCAGCGCCTCCAGCCGCAAAAAGAAGATGGCGCGTCGCGCCGTGTGTGTCCTGGCCTGGCTCCTGGCCTTCTGCGTGTCCCTGCCCGACACCTACTACCTGAAGACCGTCACGTCCGCTTCGAACAATGAGACCTACTGCCGGTCCTTTTACCCCGAGCACAGCGTCAAGGAGTGGCTGATCAGCATGGAGCTGGTCTCCGTGGTCCTGGGCTTCGCCCTCCCTTTCTCCATCATTGCCGTCTTCTATTTCCTGCTCGCCCGAGCCATCTCTTCCTCCAGCGACCAGGAAAAGCACAGCAGCCGGAAGATCGTCTTCTCCTACGTGGTGGTCTTCCTCGTGTGCTGGCTCCCCTACCACGTCGTGGTACTGCTGGACATCCTCTCCATCCTCCACTACGTCCCCTTCACCTGCCAGCTGGAGAATTTCCTCTTCACGGCGCTGCACGTCACGCAGTGCCTGTCCCTGGTGCACTGCTGCGTCAACCCCGTGCTGTACAGCTTTATCAACCGCAACTACAGGTATGAGCTGATGAAAGCCTTCATCTTCAAGTACTCGGCCAAAACGGGTCTCACCAAGCTCATCGATGCCTCCCGAGTGTCGGAGACCGAGTACTCGGCTTTGGAGCAAAACACCAAGTGATGCGCTCTGCACGGCCTCCGGGACGTGTGTGCTTGCTTCCAGCAGGGCACCGGGCTGCCTCATTTTCCACAGTAAATCAAAGTGGCTTCAGGCTTGATGCCGCACTTGTGTGAAAAGGGGAACGTGTGTCCCCGTGGCTCCTTTCTCTCTCTCTCTCTCTCTCTCTCGTGCCAATGTGGCTGTCTGTCGCGTGGCCGTGTGTCCCGACGGAGTGGCACCCGCCACGCGGGGCTGTGCCGAGCAGTCCCCGCTGCTTGTCACACCAGCTGCGGGACAGGCTTGCCTGCACTTCTGTAAAATAGGACTTTTCTGTGCTCCCTGAAGGTTTTATATGGTGGTTTGTATTTAAATCTTAAGACTTTATTTTTCTCACTCTCGATGTACCTTCTAAATGTATTTGAAAGTTTAAATATATTTTAAATATTGTATGGGAGGTATAATGCTGACATATATTCAGTGTTGTTGTTTCGAGATTAGTTAGACTTCCGTTTTGACTAAGGATGACATTAATTGTTAGCTGTTTTGAAAGTATATATATATATATATATATATATATATATATATATATATATACATACATACATACACACACACACACACACACATACATATAAATATATATATAAATATATGCCAGTCTTGGCTGAAATGTTTTATTGACGATAGTTTTATATCTGTGTGGTATTTTGGCCCGGTCTGGGATATGGAACGAAAACTGCTCTGTAATGCAGTTTGTGACATTAATATTATTGTAAAGTTACATTGAAAATAAAGAAAGCAACACTATTCCAGTCTGTATCGCGGCGCACAAAACAAACCTTGTATTTCAGAGAGTTCTTTCCATTTGTAAGTTATTTTTTTTAATAAAGATTTCTTTTTCCTAAAAAGGCGTTCGGGTCTAAGTTTTAAAAGCATGTTTGGCATTAGGTGGCATGTTTGACAATAATACAAATATTTACAGCATAGATGATCAACCTAATAAATGTGTTTAAAGAAAAGAGTACTACCATAAAGGCAAAGCCCAAGAGATTAACTTGGATGAAATGATATAAAAGCAGAAAAATTTGAGTGTGAGTGTTTTTTTTTTTTTTTTTTTTTTTTTTTTTTTGCCGTACGCGGGCCTCTCACTGTTGTGGCCTCTCCCGTTGCGGAGCACAGGCTCCGGACGCGCAGGCTCAGCGGCCATGGCTCACGGGCCCAGCCGCTCCACGGCATGTGGGATCTTCCCGGACCAGGGTACGAACCCGTGTCCCCTGCATCGGCAGGCGGCCTCTCAACCACTGCGCCACCAGGGAAGCCCCAGGGCATGAATTAAAAAAAAAAAAAAAAAAAATTCATGCCCTGTGTTTGAGGGAGGGGAGATGGTTGGTAGGTGCCCCTGTCAGCACAAAGTTGGTGCAGAAATGTCCCCACCTGCTGTCTGCCCAAAGGGTTTGGGCCCCAGAACTGATCCTCATATATGCCCCGTGTTCCCCCAGGCCACACGACATGGCCCTTGAACCTTCCCTGCCAAGGTTCTGTGGTTTAAGTTCTCTCTCTTTCTCTGGTCAAGACAGACTCTTCATTTAACAGTTAAACCATCCATGACCCTCTTCTCCCAGCCTTGCAGTGAGTAAATTCCTGGCCTGTGCATCGCCAAGTAAACCCACTTTACTAGTAGTTTGAAAGCGCGCTCTCAGAATGGCCGCTTCTGCTGTGCCCTCACCAACTCTACCTGGGCCACAAGCGCAGCGGGGGCTTCAGCAGCTGAGCCTGGGCAGGAGCTCAGAGCAGGACCTGGTGCCCCAACGCTGCCGTGACCAGCTCCACCTCTGATGGGACCGATGAGCAAGGAGAGCTATTTGCTAACATAAAGGTCGACCCGGACCAGGTTCCAAATCTCACCTGTGAATTTGGGGGCTGCTATCCTATAGGAAAGCACCTCGTGCATTTCGGCTCTCCTGCCGGCCCACAGTGGATAGCCCCCTGCAGCCCCCAGGCCTCAGATCCAGCCTCCTGCAGGAAGGGTCCCCCTTCTCAGAGGGCTTTGTGCCTGAGAGTTTTGAAACCTGGGTTATAAATTACTTTAAATATCTACTTGATACACACATATGTTCTCAGGTCCATATATGCCTTGCCTCGTTCCAAATAGGATTCAGGTCAGATAATAATAATGTGGATAGTGGGATAGTGGCATAACCATAGGTGAGACACCAAGATCAAGGAGAAATGAGAGCAGAATGGCAAAGTGAAATCAGAGAAAATTATGACCCAAATACAGGTTCCTGAGAATAGAAAAGGACTGCAAGTTTGCTCTGTGCTTTCTGGTGGCCTAAATTCAGACAGAAACATACTTAGCATGTAGTCAGTGTGAAGTGGGGTGCTGATTGCACCCCAAGCTCAGCTCTACAATAGGTGTGACAGAAGCAATTCAACTGAATTTCTCTTTTGAGGCCCCATCTTGGGTCAGTTCAGAGATGCCCACCTCCCCCACCCCTGCCGGCATCTGCTGAGATGTCCTCTTGCCTGCTTGGTCCTCATGCAGGGCTCCTTCTGAGAGCCCTGTTCAAGGGTCTCTTTCTGCCATCCCATACCTCTCTGGGCCATGGCGTACTCGGGTACTCGGGGGGCTGCCCCTGGCTCTTTTCTGCATTTCTGCCTTCTCTGAAGCCCAGGAGAATCACCAGCTGCTTCCTCCTGCACTGAGGTGCAGAGGGAGGGAGGCTGAACTGAATCTAGACGCATCATGTGGATTTTTCGTCTCCCCGCAGGGCTCAGCGCACAGTGTCGCAGACCCCTACGGGTCTCCGGGATGCAGGCTCCATCTGTGGGGTGCTCCAGTGACTAAGGTCTCTCTGGTCCTTCCAGAAATCCCCTTCTTTGCCCTGCTTGGGGCTTGAAGACTTGCTTATCCAGACTCAAAAGCCTTCCCTTTGATCTCTGGCTATAGCATCCTTCTCGGGAGCAGCGGTACTGGATGGTGTCACTGCAGATGTGATGACAGAGGCCCAGGTCAAGGGTACAGAGTATCCATGGGGGTATCATCAGTTAACATTTTAAACAATTTCTGTCCACCTCGCGGATGTGGACCTGGGGTGGGCAGAGGTCACGTGCCAGGTTTGGGGTCCGAGGTGGGCGTTGTTGGGGAAGAAGAGCTGGGCAGAAGGCCCTGGCCCTCCTCGAACGCAGAGGCCAGAGTCTGAATTCTGCCGTCCGAGGCCCATTCTTTTGGCATCCTCTGTGATGGGAAGATCTTTGAAAATGCCAGCCTCGTGAGACAGTAATAACACTGTTAGTCATTTAGCAAGTGATGGCATTTGGACCCCATGTGGATGTCGGGAGCTCCAGCGTAGGGTGGGGTCTGGGCTGGGGAGGAAAGCAGCCATCAGCTCCACGACAGGCCCTGCCTGGAGCCTGAGATGGGGAAGCTTTTCCACTTCCCTCCCTCCCGCCTGGCACTCTGCTCCAAATGGCAGCGGCCAGCGGGACCACCGCAAGCCACCCTGCTGGCAGTCCGTTGTCAGTCAGGAATAAATGCTTCCCATTTGGTTCAACGTATGAGCAATTTACTGGGTTCCCAGAAAGAAACATAATGCCACTGAAAACACCAGACGGAAAATCCTTTGGGCATACAGCTCTTCACTGGCCGACGGACTTTAGTCCTCGCAGGAGCCTGGCAGCAAACTGGGATGAGACCCCGTGCATGTTTGTGTTCGGATCTCTGACGGAGCAGTGAGGAATTTTAACTCGCTCGCAGCTGGCCTTTTCTCAGGGTCTCCCCAGGAGACAAGAGCTCAGGGATGTGACCCAACTTTTCAGGAATGTGGAAATTCTGCCTTTGCTGGGCTCCTTCTGTGAGGGCACTGACCCCCAACCAGGGGTCCAGGAGACATTCCATCTAAGGTAAGCCCAGTATCACAGAATCTGGGGACACACATGAATCTGCCTTGAATGGGGTGAGTGGGATGGCTGATTAGTGCAGGAAGGTCCACAGAGCTCCTTTCTGGAAGGACCAGGCTTCAGTCCTAAGCTCCAGGGTGACACTCCGTGTGGATACAAGCCCCTGAGATTTCATCTCTCCAGAGCAATGGTTTTCGGTGAGCTAAATGTTTGAAAAGGTCCACTCAGCATTAAAAAACACTTTACTCCTTTTTGCCTGTGGTCTTGGACCCTCCAAGGAAAACTCTTTATACCCTTGATGGTGCACGTACAAGCAGTACCTGCCAGGATCCTAAAATATCCAGAGACATTTAATATGGAATGATGCTAGTTTAGGTAAGGGCTCATAGGAAATCAAATTACTTATTGTAGGCAGTTTGTATTTGCAGCAATTTTTTTTTTTTTTTTCTGAGTGACTGATGGTGGCCTGACATTTCTGTAAAATACTAAGTTTTCTTCCCTAGAGCCGGCTCTCATGCACTCACACACACGCACACACGTGGGTTCGTTACCGTACGGGGTCACTAACACACGCATCACGGACACGGATTCAACGGTCACGTCTAGGGTGGTCTAGCCGTTGTCTGGGCCACAGCACTGAGGTCTGCCTTCGGGAAGTGAGGGCCTCTGCTAGAGTGGGGACAGCTGAGCGTGAGGCCCAAAGAGCCCTCAATACTAACGTCCTGGGGATTCTTTGGGAATTTGCAGTTGCCTCATTCATAAAGTTGGATGATAATAGTACCTGCTTCACAAGGTTCCTGTGATGACCCAGTTCCACAGCCTCTGCAAGGTGCTCGCCAGCAGCCCGGGGCACACAGAGCACGTGCTCAGGTCCAGAGCCTCTCTGTCCACAGCCTCGGGGCACAGTCTGCATTTTCTTTGCAAGAAACAATGCACTCCAGAGAAATACTGGGAGAGAATAACTACCTGTGGGCAGTGACTGAAAGAGTGAGGCACATTTGCCACAACCGGGCCATTATGTCCCTGGGGGACATCGGGCAGCGTCTGGAGACATTTTTGCTTGTCTCCACTGGGGGTGGGGATGCTCCCGGCATCTGGTGGGTGGAGGCCAGGGAAGCTGC